TTCACTCTGCTATTTTGACAGGTAATTAATAAACAGTGTATCGATAAACCAGTTCATATGTTATAAATATAGCATATATTATAATTGTAGTATTATTAGTATAATTTTATATAGTATTATATTTTGTACTATGTTATAGTACTCACAAATATGTACTAAATAAAATACATATATACGATAATCTTGTTCATAACGACTTACCGTCTAAAATAGTGACTGCGTCTCTTTCATATCTTCAATTAAATGAATTGTATAGTTAACATTTCAACAAAAACAGGTTACATTATTGTGAATCAAAGTGCAATATTTCTTCTTAAACTAAACAAGATAATATGAACTGTTAATATGATGAAAGATAGTATTCTATGGTACAAATCCTTATGGTGTCAATCTGCCAGCTTGTCTTTATATCCGGAAGGTAGTATTGAAAGTAAAAGGGTAATTTGTAAGTAATAATAAGAGATCATACGTTGAGCGTACCATTTTATTAATCCCAGGCTTAACCATTCCTTCATAATGTTTCTCGAATTACGCTATTAACAAAATCAACAGTGGCTATGCTGACAGCGAGTCTATAATATCCCAAACTTCTCGGTGCGTGTTATAGCAATGGAAACTGTATTTAGAAGTAAAAACAATTACACCAAACCAGGGCCGGAATTAGAGGTCTGGAGGCCTCGGGGCAACAAAGGAGTGAAGGCCCCAAATTATTTTCCAAATAAAATGAATTTTTTTTCAGCCGAGTTTTCCAATAAATAGTTTATTGTGGAACCAAGTATAGATTCTTTTATTATTTAACAAACAGATAAATATAGTCAGACACAAGAATTATCTAAAATTAAAAGTTGTTTACTAGTGTGAATTCGATTTTTTTTTCCATAATATCTATTGTGGGGGCCCCTCTTTTGCGGAGGCCCCGGGGCTGTAGCCCCGGTTGACCTCCCCTTAATCCGGCCCTGCACCAACTCTTAACCATCAGAAAAGACAATAGGTAGCGAGTTAAGCTTCGGAATTGGTTACTTTATACGATACACCGTTAACTGCCGGGCGTGTAAATGGTCCATGTAATTTAATTATCGCTAAAGAAGTTTATACTTCAATTTCGTTGGGGACATTAAGGAGGTATTCGCAGATGTCTGCTTATGTATACCGCAAAGTTTAATCGAAGTTGCGATACGGGTTCATCTTTTTACTGCATGAAACCAATAAAAAAATACGTAATGCTAACTTCATAAATAAATAACTAAATAAAAAAAATATGTAATGCTAGTATTACTAGAATATGGTGGATATTTATAATTTTTAAAATACGTGAGGATGGTTAAAAATCATATTTAGCTGGTGCATGAGGCAATGTACTGTGGCGTGCCCTTGCTTCTGTCCAGCAGTGGACCACAAAAAGACTGATAGGATGGGTTGGATGTGATAAAGAATGAATTAGTTAGCGTCCTTCAACGTGTACTGCTTATTGAGCGACCATTGTGTCAGTTAAAAATAGATATTATATAGAACCAGTATATAGAAAACAGTAAAGATAAAAAAGTAACTTAAGTACATCTCACAGGCGTTTGGTGAAAAGTACTTCCTCGAAAAAATATTTAGGACAAATAAGGAAATAGTAGGCACTTATAAGTTACAGTGTATTTTTGTTATAGCAAAATTATTGTTTTGCGAGATCGAATAGTATATAAAATCACGAGTGGTAGTTGAGTATTTTCTACTTCACACTATGCGATATGCAGATAAACACTCTATGCGTAGGTAAACACTCTAAGGTAAAATAAATGAATTATTTCATGTACTCTGTAACTCTGTCTGTCTGTCTGTCTCGCTTTTCCGCCTAAACTACTGAAACGATTTAAATGAAATTCGGTACACAGATAGTCTAGAGCCTGAGAAAGGACGTAGGCAATTTTTTAACTTGAACAAATTTTTGAATAAAGATATTTATTTAAGGGCTGCAGCGCGAGCGAAGCCGCGGACGAAAAGCTAGTAAAGAATAAAGAAAGAAAGCACTCACGTTCGCAGATCATCATTGAGAACTCAAATAACCAAATGTACACTGACACGGAATGAGGCTTCATTACTAATGCCAATCGAAGTCGTAATAATAAGACGGCTGAACTTACGTAAACCCGGTGTATGTACCGACTAGTTTCGGACAAATAGTAAAGAAACACTTATAATTTTAGAGGTTTCTAATGCGATGTCGATAACAAACTTTCAGCATTGCACCCATACGAAGCCGGGTGGGTGGCTAGTATTGTTTAAATATATATCTAATGAAGAACGGCTTCGTGAATTATACATTAGTTTATTGGTAAAAACAAAAAAAATAACGTTTCAGTTTATATTGAGGTGTAACAAGACTTTCGGAGTTGCTGCCAACATCACACTAGGTTACTAAATAGTTCTTATATTAAAAATTTAAAAGAAGTTTTCATTGACAAAGTTTCTAAAATTTAGAAACGTTTAGGAAGTATTAGGTAATAATAAAAATGGGACTGACCTTGATCAAACGAATTATAATGGTTCGATTTAAAAAAATACTTTGGCAGTTATGTTTTCTTTTTGTTTTTGGTACCACGTTTAGAAAGGTAAAGAAGTCGACATCTGAAACGTTATTTTTAGTTTTTACCAATAAACCAATGTATAATTCACGAAGCCGTTCTTCATTAGAATTTATACAATAGCGGCCCGCCCCGGTTTCGCACGGGTGCAATGCTGAATGTTTGTTTTCGACATCGCATTAGCAACCTCTAAAATTATCAGTGTTTCTCTACTATACTATGCATGAATTATACATATAAGCCATCTTATTGAATCAGTCTATCTATAAAAAAAACCGCATCAAAATCCGTTGTGTAGTTTTAAAGATCTAAGCATATATAGGGACAGACAGCGGAACGACTTTGTTTTATACTATGTAGAGATTTAAGTTTTTGATTTTTAATTAGTATAATAATATTTTATTTTGAGACAGTCAGGTAGTATCTGTTTATTTATTTTTCTAAAAGAATAAAAGTGTAATTCACATGTTTCGTGTTTGTTTTATTATTAGTTAAAAAGTCCTTCAGCATAAATATGGAGCGCGGTTATAAGCAATATTTTTTCTGCAGATAATATATTAAATTCTCATCATATTACTATAAGTTTATAATCAGTAAATGGCTACAAGCGTCTTTTAATGTAGTTAATGACAGACTATGATTCACGAACTAAAAACATGTTCTATATATTACTAAGTTGAAAAATAGATTCTCGCCAGAAACGTCTTTTCATTGCATTATCAGATATTTTACAGTATTTATTTTACTAAAAAGAAAATGTAATTTATTTGAAACGTTTAACTTTTTTATATAAATTCATTTCATATTATGATAGGCCACACCTTAATTTATATTCTTTCACTAGATTTTCTAGTGAAAGAATATAAATCTGGTTATGGAATTTGCTTTCGTACAGCTTATTTTTTACTTTACAGAACATAAAACATTTTTTTCTGAGTTTAACGATAGTTAGATATGTCCATTTGGCTTTTGGCGATTTACGACAGTTGTTCGTCTTAATGACTTGATCCTGTATCGCACGGATGAAACCTTCGGTTTCCCCAAACAGGTCACCGAAACGTGGCCAGTTAAGGGAGGCAACAGTATCTACGTAAGGCTCGTGTAGAGCCTTGTAGAACCTCCCGTGGAGCTCTTTCTCCTTGCATACGGTCTCTCGGTCGGAAACGCTCAGTGCTCCCGGATCCTGTCATTGCTACTGATCTAAGGCTAGAGGGGTAATTGCTTTATCACAGCTAACGACGTCCTTGTAGATCGACTCATCGTGATTGTGCACGCATAAATAGAACGCATGGGGGCCATGCTTCCTCTGCAGGTGCAGCCTCATTACTGACATTTTCGGTTGATGCATCCTGTGGGACTTCATAGTGGTGTGTTCTTTTCGGTACAGGGCATTGAGGTTCGTTTGAGTCCACCTTTGTATGCCATATGAGGACTGGCATGAGCCATCCGTTAAATGCGTGCGCTTTGTTCACGCCTGACAAATGGCTGTTTAACACTTTTGTCGGAGGTGCAAAACTCATCACAAACTGACTTTAAACTAAGATTATGATCCGATATCATGATTAAAATTGTGATGATAAAGATATGCTTATGTAATTGTTTGATAAAACGTAAAAAATAAGTAATTTTTTGTAATACAATGATGAGATTTTTATATTGTAATTTTTATTTAAATAACCAGTTCATATTTTCTTATTATTATGTCGGTAAGATTAAAAATAAAAATATTATGCACACTTCACCACTCAGTAATTTGTACCTAATAGTAATTTGCAAAATACACGATTTACCAAAAATAAAACAAACCGAGCAAAGCTCGGTCCTCCAGGTAGTATCGTTAAAACCGGTCACAAGCGTCGTCCGCAACGTTTCGATGATATTAAGTTGATTGGACAATTTACTGCTTAACGAAACACTATTGGATACACAAGGTATTCATTCCAGTTTTTAATAAAGTAATATTGAGAGAGAAGAAACATTCATCAGAAGAAAAGTTCCTATCTTCTTTTTTTAAGAAAGTCGTGAAAAATCTACAAACAAGCGGTTCATCAGATGACACGCGATCACCGCTTCCTATGTACACCAAATCTCTCGTAAGCTTTAGACAGGATTTATTATTGAACGGACGGACAAAACACATGTAACTGTTGTGTAAGTAAAAAAAATAGAATATGTTTATGTTATATTAATGTTTATCGCGTTGTCTCGTCAATAATCTTATAATTTATTCAGATGCCTTATCATTTTGAATCGCATTTTGCCGTATAAAAGTGATGTTCACCAGACAGGCTTTGATGTATTCTGCGCACCACCACGCGCGGTGGACACATTTCAGTGAATATTCTCTCTGATTTATTTAGAAATTAATTTCAATTTAAGGGATTATCTCATTTATCAACGGAAATGATATTTTCTTAATTTCTAAATGAAATGGATTTTGCGGGTGCAGTGGCTAGATATATATCGGTAAAGAATGCTTTACAAATCATTGCTCTACTGAACATATCTGAATTTATGTATCCTCCGTCACGGATAAACGGTAAGTGCTTTTTTGTACGGTAATTGGTAATCCTGGGCTAGCATAGTCACGGAGGAAATGGAAAGAGGATAGAAGCATCACAATCATTCACTTTTCCACTCTATCATGGTTGCAGAGGGTGGGGAAAACGGTGACTTCGTCACCATATTGTCTATTTAATTTCTCTTATCATATTTTCCGCTACCAGAAGACGCCTCTAATGTGGCCTGAATGAGCCCTCTCAGATCGAGCTACTCATTTCGGCCTTGTAACCCAGTCTGACCTTCTTTCGGTTACCCTTTGTTTCACCATGAGTAACAAGTCAACAACTGCCAGGACCGGATTGGAATTTGTATAACTGCGTACCGGTTTTAGAAAATGATTTATTTGTGCATACACGAACAAGACTTATTTGAATATAATGATATCGACTTTGGCTGCGGTATGTTCTATTTCAATAACAAATTTTCATTTGTTACAGTTGAAAAAAGCTACGATTATGTGATTGTTGGTGGTGGTACAGCTGGTTGTGTTGTCGCTAATAGGTTGTCCGAAAACCCAAATGTTACCGTACTCCTCATCGAGGCTGGTGGTAATCCACCAATAGAATCGGACGTAAGTAAGTTGTTTTTCCGTAACTTTTCTCTCCAGTTTATGTGATAAGTATGATTAGGGTAACGTATTGTTTCCAGGTTACATATATATATCGCTGCTTGTCGAATACCTTACTCTATGACAAGTATCTGATACAGGGCCACTTAGAGACTTAAATCACAATATTGATCTCCCTCAGCCTGAGCATGGAATAAAACGACACTCAGCACTTAAAATTGCAAGCGATATATTAACAGTTGAATGAACAAACTTTTGTATTTAAATTGATAAGAAATTTGCATAATAAATAAAACCGATTTTTTTGACATTCAGATACCATCGTTGGTGTTTTATACGAGAATGTCACCTATCGACTGGAATTTCACAGTGTACAATGAGCTTACAGGTGAATACGATAAAATGAATCACGGTAAAGTACTTGGTGGTACCAGTAGCATAGATTCTATGCGATTTAGTAGAGGCTCCGTTTATGAGTACAACACTTGGGCGAGGAAAGTAAGGGATGCTAATTGGAATTGGGAAAATCTGGTTCCATATTTCGTCAAGAGCGAGAAATTAGTGGATGAGGTAATACTCCATTCACCGTCAGCAGTTTTCCACGGCTTTGAAGGTTACATAGGACTGAATCGTACGCCTCATACGATTTCTGAAAAGTACATCAATGCATTTTATGAGGTGGGAAATCCAAAGGTTCTTGATATTAACACTATAAATAGTACCGGTTATATTCAACCGCTTTACATGATAGCTGATGAACATAGGCAAAGTAGTGCATACTCATACATGAGATCAAAAGTCGCAGCTCGCAAAAACCTGGATGTATTAAAGGATGCTTATGTCACAAGAGTCATCTTTGACGATTGCAAGGTTGCTAGCGGCGTGGAAGTTATCCTGGATAATGAAGAGAAAATAACCGTGCGATCGCATAAAGAAGTTATAGTTTCTGCTGGTAGCATTAACACTCCTAAAATTTTAATGCTTTCTGGCATCGGACCGAAGAAACATTTAGACAGTTTGAACATATCGAGCGTATCCGATTTGCCAGTTGGTGAGAATGGACGGCAACATAACATCGTGTTAAGAACCTATAAAATGGAATCAACAAACGAGAGAACTAGTAAAAGCCCATACGAATCTCCGAATCCCGTCTTTAACGGGTTTGTAGCTTTGAATAAATCGCAGCCGTATGCTGATTATTTGGCGTTCTCGACGCCCATAAGAAATAATCCACAGTCAGTGGTCGATTTGTGCTTGTCAATTTTTCCCACTAAAGAGTTTGTATGTAAAAAAATGTACGACGAAAGCAAGGGTTCCGAGTTGCTCGTTAATTTAATAACATACTTCGATCTAAAATCTAGGGCGAAAGTGGAACTGAGCAGTGCGGATCCTCTTAGTCCTCCCACCATCCGTACCAACATATACAGAAATAGCATAGACGCTGTGACGGACTTGAACAGTTTTGCTGCCAGCATATTGGACTTCGCTAGAGTAACAAACTCGACCCTATTTAAAAATGCCAAAGCCGAACTTATAGAGTACGACATCCAAGAGTGCCGCGATTACGAATTCGAGAGCCATGATTACCTGTTGTGTTACATATCTGCAATGATGCGTACACCATATATTTTTGGCACGTGCCCAATGGGTACTGTGATAGATACCCATTTCCGTGTGAATGGCGTGCAGAAACTTCGTGTGGTCGACTCAAGTACAATCCCGACGGTGATGAGGGCAGAAATTATTCCTACGGTGATCATGCTTGCTGAGAAGGCATCAGATTTAATTAAAGAGAAAGCTTGAAACAATGGAAACATACTTTACATATTACACATTTATTGCTTCTAAAAAAACTATTTTCCTGTTTTGTGATCGCTACCGATCGTTAGATGTCAAGAATGCTGCTTAATATTCAAAACTTTGGAACCGTAAAATAAGAATTAAATGTTTTAAAATTCTGTTAAATCACTTTCATTTAAATATGCACTATTCGTTAAGTTGAGGGAATGTAATTATTTAACATGAATTGCTGTTTTACTTATAAAATATGTCATTGTATTTAGATTTTTAATGTGGAGTTTTAAATGATATACATATACATGCTAAATAATAATAAAATGTTGAAGTTGTCAATGGTGATCTTGTGGCTAATACGACCTAATCAAATTGAATCCTCATGACATTAATTCCGGATCTGGGTTTTTGTTTTCTAAGGGGTTTTGACGTGAGGCGCTAAAAATACGATTAACGTGTTGCGCCGATCTAGGTGGGATAAGGGCAGGAGAATAATGATGACTCATGATTATTTATATCATCTGTATTATACTGTTATCCTGTTTACTCCTTTATCAATAATATTTTGACGTTTGCCTTTCAAACTTGAGTTTTAGATGTTAAAGTAGGTATATAACTATGGATTTTTACTTACGCACGTTTAAGAAGCGGAGGGTAGGTAGGACGGCCCATCGCAAGACCAAGATTGTGGAATAACAAATTACTCTTCATTACAAAATGATAATGAGATTCCCTTTAAGCTTTGCCTACCCTTAATATAATAACTATCTAAAAATAAAAACGATGTAAACAAAGTAAAAGCGGGGTTCTGACCTCGAGAAATTTGTTGCCTAATTGCGCTTAGTTACGAACAAGAAAGGGCCTATAGTTCTTACTCTTTTATAGTTTTGGTACGATCCTTTGTGACGTTTTGACATTCCAACTTGATGAAAAGCGTATGGGTTTCCGCGAATAATCAATCACAGTGATCCAATAATGCCCTCCTGCCCAGGTAGTTTGTCGAAATATATAGTAAAAATGGGTGAGCGAGTGTTAATTGCCCAGTTATTGCAAGGCTGGGCCATACAACATTGACAACCAGAAACGTTACCATTAGCCAGTACCCACAATCAGGTAGAGTCTATTTTTTTATATTTAGTAATCTAATTTATATTTCCGTTTCTTTTTATTTGTTTTTTTTTTTTTGGAAATCATTGCCCATACTTTGTCTAATTGTAGATACCTTACTGACTGTGGTTGGGCCACGCAACATTATTCGCTGTTGCACGAATGGACAGATCCTTCCTGGACCACTATCTGACGGAAGATCGCAGTGAAATAGAAGTGTAACTTCTGCGTTTCGTCTGGTGAGGTAGCCGGGGCCCACTTTATCAAAAAGGTTCACGCACCTGCAAACCTATGGGTGTTGCAAATGTCAATGGGCGGTGGTTATCATTTAACATCAGGTCTGCCGCCAGCTCGTTTGCCACCTTCTCATATAAATAATATTTATATCCGGACGTTCGTAAACTATGTAATTTTTATTTTGCTTCTTTGTTTTTATACATATGGCGTCGCCTAGTGATAAACTTTACAGTATACCGATACTCTCGAATTGGAATAATTGTTTACGTAGCTTCAATTAAAAAATTTCAAGTATGCAGAAGGTTGAGGCAAAACTAGGAACTCGATAAGAGTGATTGAAAATAATCTGACGTGTATAATCACAGACTTTTCAAACTCGTATGTTTTAGTTAGATACATCTGGTGTTATTAATGCAAACGAAACTGCGATGTAGAACGGCACAGCTTCTTTGTACACGGAACATTTTACGCCCGCAATTTTGCCATCGTGAACCTAGAAAGGTAATATACATTTTTACAGATACTATGATCATTTATCTTCCGAGGTTAGATTTAAAGAAAAATATAAATATAAAACAAATTAAATTAAAGAAAGGTACGCCTAACGCTCTGGGGAATATGTAAAATAATATTGATAAGCATTTTCTGAGAAATAAAAACGATCAAAAAATAACAATTCAGAAGACTACCTAATAAAAACCAATTCTTTGTTGCTTGCTTCAAAATTTCATTTTTCTGCTTTAATGAGATAAATCGTAATTTAAAAGAACTATTGATGTAGATATTATATTTGGGTTGGTATGAAAATACATCACATAAATCGTACCTTTTTTATTTACTGTAAAGGTTGATTCAATTTTGAATCGAGAATCGCTATAGAACATATCTAGCGAAGAACTTTGTGGCTGTATTTTTTATTTAAATTTCTAATCACGGTCGTTCAGTCTGTGCGTTTATATGTGCACAGATCAAATAAAGGGCAACTACGAGGCGGATTTCTTCATGCAAAGTCGGCGCAAAGTAATCCGAGATATAACTTAAAAGCAACACACGAGCGTGCGCGACGCAAACTTAGTCCCAGTGTGCACAAAGAGAGTAATTAATTTAAGTTGGGATAAGTTGGGAGCAGCCTGCTCCGTAGCTGTCCTACGGCTCACGAAACTCGAGTAAAGTCAACAACGGGGTGTTGTCTGAATGGGGATTAAACTAATTAGAAAAACAAGTGATTCCTTTGGGAGCAAACGACCTTACACACTTGTACACTTGTTTAGGGCTTATGATAGTAACTTTTCAAAGTTGGCAACGCATGTGCAACCCTTCAGGTGTTTTATATGTCCATAAGAGCTGGTGAACTTGCCTGCTCGTTTGCGAACTTTTAACATAAAAAATTATTAAAGCAGTACCTACTGAGAAAAATAATATATCGGACCGAGATAAATATTAAAGCTTATCTAAAACTTAGTCTGCTGCGCTACCGTTGATACTGACAACTGAAATTTGAATAGAAAATTGACCTTGTCTTAATGTTGGAAGCAGTTTTAATTAACAAAGTAATAAAATCCTGGGATATTAACCTGGAAAAGTGTACGCGCAATCATAGAAATATTCTGCTTTTTATTAAGAATCTTTTAAATGCAAAAATCATAATAATCATAATTATATCTGGTTCACGGCGAAAGGATTATATTGAGATGATGGGACTGTGTCCTCACCCAGATTAAGACTTAATATCAACAGTTAAAAGCGGCCAGCATCAGCTATATTAATCGACTAGTCATGTCATGGTTGAAACACGTAAAAGGTTGATTTTTTAAAGTTAAGATTCAATTGACTTTATGAAGCTAACGCTGACTGAATAAAACTTTCCTGGCTTTATTATCAAAGCAAACAAAGAATTACTCAACTCCGAGGGGCTGGAGCCAATTAATTCGTGAATTTAATAGTTAATTTTAACTATAAAATTTAAGTCAAGTACACATCGTGTTTAATAGTTAAAATAAACTGACGCCCGGTTTCTGAAACACTAATCAACGTAGATGCCAACTAATCAGCTGTCAAATGAATTTCAAATGTCATTTGAGTTGCCAAAAGGATGTTTAAACTCTTTGAATTGATCATTCTAATCATAAAGAAGATCATTCTGGTCAATTCAGAGAGTTTAATCATCCTTTTGGTACCTAAATTGTAATTTGAAATCCATTTGACAGCTGATTAGTTGACATCTACGATGATCAGTGTTTCAGAAACCGGGCGTGAATGTGTTTAATTCAAAGCTTTTCTGCAGCCGTTGAGGCGTTAACACTGTACATGGGCACTTGAAAGGAGGGTGCCCATTTCAAGAATGGGCATCTCGCAGAAGACCGGCCTGTAGTGGAAGTGTTACAATTCTACGTTTCTTTGGTGAGTGAAGTGACAGGCGCCTATTTTAACCACCTATAAAACCGAACTTGTACGCCGAGGGTTCCGTACCTATCCGTTATATCACCATAATAAAATTGGTAATCACCACCGATTTTCTCAGAAACGGGTACCAAGTTAAAATTTATACCAGGTACCTACTGAAGTTTAATAGTCACAATTAGGTGTATAAAAATCAAGATCCTGTCAGTCAACACGATAAAAAATATGGGCAAAATAAATTAAAAAAAAAAAACGAGACAACTTGTCACACAGACGGATAGGCAGATTTTTATCTCTTAAGGTACGGGACCCTAAAAAGTGACAACACCATTGAGACCCTACATTTGTGGCAAATGTCCACGGGCAGCGCATATTACTTAACGTCAGGTGAACCGCCAGCTCGTTTACCACCTTCAATCACAAAAAAAAAATCACAATTGTAAAATTTTTTGAAAATTAATTTCCTATATGACAACTAACCTTTATTCGAATTACCTCGTATCCTATACTGTCACTTCAGGTACGGTTGACTAAGCCTTAGTGGATTTCTATGAGTTACGGTTGAAATATTTAAGCGCCATCAACTGCCTATTTCCAATATTTGGGATGCTAACACCTCTCACGAGTATTGATTTATTTTTTGTTATGTCAATGGGACCAACACTTACAAACCTGGGCATTTAGAATATTTATCGAAACGAAACATTTCTATGTTGTACTTTTGTTGTCGCGCTTGGAAAAAAAATATAAATTATAATTGAGACAAAATCTATCCATTGTATATATTGAAACCTGAATAACCTCTCACACGTGCTATTTTAGAGTAATTGCAATTAAATGAAAAAACTTTATTTTTTATTTGTACTTAATTGCAATTGAATAATAAAACGTAGAAACGTAAAATATTTTTCTGGATCTCAGCGATTGTCATGCGAAATCTACGTAAAGTTTATATCACATAGCTTAAATATACTTGTCATGAAAGTTAGAGTTGGAAAGTTAAAGTGGAAGTTGTTTGGTGGACGTAATGTAATAAATGCAAAGTTTTTTTGTTGACTGTACTGCCCATTTGCACAATGACAACTTAGTTACGACGTCGCGTTTCGACTCTGGTGTTTATCTGAAATGTTGAGACGGGCTTTTGGATTTTCTCGCTTATGACTAAGGTACAATCATTGCAAGATCCATTAGTAATATTTGTATGGATGTTCCAAGGATTTTTAATATGTTTTTTTTATGGGAAAAGCTAGCAGCAGGCGGTT